GCCCTCTGTCAGCAGGTTTTCCAGGTATACTAGTAGTCAAATTGAGTACAACAGTTTGTCTTTGTAGATAAAATTAAGTAGACAGTTATAAAAGATCCACTTAATGTGATATTTTTAACAACCGAATTAGGTGATTTTGATTTTTCTTCTTCACACCACTTTTGATTGTTTTATACTGTACTTGTTATTCAGAGCCCAGTAGAGTGATTACGAGGAACATTTATTGATGGCTCCCACAGAGTAAATACATCATTTGAATTGTAGTGATTAGATTCCATTTAAATGGTCAAACCTCTATTGGGTAACTAGGCATGGGCCCAGTAGTATATTAGATACAGTGGGGTATTCCAATAACTCACAAAACAAATGTCCTGGAGGAGCTCACAGTTTTGACATAGAGACAGATAAATTAATAAATGCCCTGATATATATGGTGGGCTTCAATATCAGCATTGCATCATACAAACCAAGAGTCATGGAAGCAAAGGAGAGGGAGAGGTTAATTTTAAGCAAGAGAGCAGAAACGTTTTCTTAAGAGGAAGTGAGATTTGGGGCTAGAAATAAAGAAAAGTGTATTAGTCCCCTATTAGTTACAGGTAACAAATAAAATTCAAACTAGCTTAAATAAAAAGGCAATTTATTATCTTCTATAATAAGGATTTCTTGCTTATTGCAAGGGAGATCCAGGTTTAGCCTCCCCTCACTCTATTGACTTGATCACAGTCAAACTCTCCACAAAGAGGACTGCTAAAGATAGAAACTTATATACTTAAGGCTAATAATCCAGGCCCTTCTATTTCCTAACAACCATTCATTAAAAATCAGGGAAGATTTCGTTTTTTGTTGTTGGAAATTGGAGGGGGAGACGAACCATGAGAGACTGTGGACTCTGAGAAACAAACTGAGGGTTCTAGAGGGGAGAGGAGTGGGGGGATGGGTTAGCCTGGTGATGGGTATTAAAGAGGGTACATATTCAATGGAGCACTGGGTGTTATACGCAATGAATCATGGAAAATTACATCAAAAAAATTAATTAAAAAAAAAGTTGGAACTTAAAAAAAAAATCAGGGAAGATTCTCATTGGCTCTCCTTGGGAGCCTGCCCATCCTGAGCCAATCCCTGTGGCCAGCTAGGTCACATGCCCACCTTGTATAGAATGATATATGGGGCAGGACATCATGACTGACAATTCCACCAGATCAGTTAGAGTTGGGGAGCTATGGCTTCCCCCAAAAAAGCAACAGAAAGAACAGAGATAGTCAAAACTACTGGACAAACACTATCATTACCATCTTCATTTCAGACAGGTAGAATTTTGCAAAGTATTATGAGGGCAAAGCATTTGTGAGCAAAAGAAAGAACTCAGGCTAAGATATGAATGCAGGAAAATGCATGGAATGTTTTGAACACAGTGGGTGTAAGGGGCTTGTGGGGTATAAAGTAATTCTACCCCAGTGATTATAGTCTCTGAATTGATGAAATGTTATAGGTATGTTTTCCTTTACTTAGATATTTATACCTGGGGAGCTTTGCATGCACACAACTATAAACTCAGCATTATTTAATTGTAATGAGAACTTGCATTTGAAGTATATCTTGTGATGAATATGTTTGTAAAGCAAAGAATTAAGTTGCCACCAGAAACACTAACCTTTAATTTTTCTGTTTTGTACATTTGAATTATTATGCATTTTTGCTTAGGATAATGTATAGACTAAATCTTTTTTTCCAAAAAATAAATTTTTAATCCCTTTAAAAAAATAACCCAACTTAAGGTTTTAGAGTATTGCCTGTTTCTAGTAAATGATTAATAAATGTATATAAATGCTTCTTTGAATTTATATCAATAATTATAAAGTCATCTATCAATTTTAAAAGCCTATTTGAATCAGACATTTGTTTGTTCCTGGCAAAGCAGTGACTGGATGTGAATTTATATTATGATTCACAGAATCCCCATGGGCCCATGATGATACAGGCCAATTGATGTTTTAATCCTTTCTGTCCTTCAAAAAGAAATGAAATTAAATGCTACATTTTTATTACTTAGTATTTGCTACATCGAGCTAAGATTATAGATAGAATATAGAATTAAATCCTTGCAAAATGAATTTAAAATCTAAATTAGAAAGATATGTAGGATTCTGACCTTGAGAAATTAATTGTAGAAGTGACAACTTAGTGAAAACTCAGGAACAAGACAAAAAAATCCAGAGATGGCAAAATATTCTGTCAGTATTTGCTGGTAATGGACTAAAGTATAGGATTAAAAGGTCAATTTCCAGTTCCAACTTTGTCCTGACTTAGTAATTTTGAGCATGGCACCTCTCTTCAGGTGAACTTTCCTATCTTCAAACTTATTCATATCTTAGAGAGAAGCTGCATGCTATATGAAATAATATGAAGCATTTAAACTCCTCAGAATAAAGTTTTCACAACAAAATGAAATAAAAATAGGATACACTCTATCAATTACATCTGCTTTTATCATATAAAGCAAGCAAATCGGGATGAAATTTTTTGTTAGAAGGATTCATTTCAAAATATGATTTTAAGAAAAATTCAACTGGTACATCTAAAATGAACCGATCTGGAGCCACCTGGATGGCTCAGTCGGTTTAGCGTACAACTCTTGGTTTCAGTTCACGTTGTGATCTCAGGGTCGTGAGATCAAACCCCACGTCAGACTGCTTAAGGCTCTCTCTCTCTCTCTGGGTGCCTGAATGGCTCAATCAATTAAGCCTCTGCCTTTGGCTTAGGTCATGATCAGAGGGTCCTGGGATCAAGCCCCGCATTGGGCTCCCTGATCAGCAGGGAGCCTGCTTCTCTCCCTCCCTCTACTCTCTCTCAAATAAATAAATAAAATCTTAAAAAAAAAACCTTTCCCTCTGCTCCTCTCCCCAAAATCTGATTCATATTCAATCTTTGGAAAACATATTTTGCACTATGCAAAAATTATCCCATTACTACTTAATTAATAATGCATAAAGCCATTCCTTAGAATAAATAATGTGTTAAATCAGTGGTACCCAGAAATATGTGACACATCCTTAGCTATTTAAAATTATCATTTAACAAAAAAAGTCATGTAACTGTTATCTGCCCTTTAGATACTTTGTATACTATTAAATACATTTTGTAAAATAGAAATTGAAAGTCTTGAGTATCTATAGATCTCAGACAAAAGAGTCATATGTGCCCTATCCAATTAAAATGACTACTTAAAGGAATATTTAGTGAGCTAATAATGATTGTAATGTAATAATACAGTATGGAGATATAGATTATTTTAGAAGACATAATAAGTTTCTTAAATTTAAAATTTTAAATATAAAATTAAATAATACTTAAAATATTGAAATAAACCCACTACAAAGAATCACGTGGTATTTGATTCAAATGAGGCTGGGGCTGGGAGTTTTCTTGAGGACAAGACTGATGATAGGAAGGTGAGGAATTTCCCACGATGGTTGGAAGGAGTGTGGATAGCTAGATCTTATTACATAAGAAATAATTGACGTAGTCACCAAATTTTAAACAAGGTGGAATGTGAAACAAATGCTTCATGTTTAATAACAGAATATCTTTATCAAAATAACATCTCTGTCTGGTACAGGGCACAACAGATGAGTCAACGTCAAAAAAGGATGGGATAAAAAGATGAGCAACCTGCCTCCTCCCTCCCCCCTCTCCCCTCCCCTCACCACAGACTTAGCGCACCCAAAGAGACGGATGCTGAGAGATGGATAGGAAAGACGGAGAGGAGAAAGACGGAGACGAAATGAGGAGAGATGGATGAAGAAGAAGCTACACTGTTGACTTTCATCTCCAGAATTCCTCCACATCTGCCTCTTCCCCTATATCCCTTGTTTCCAATTCCCCTTTGTTTCTTGGCCTCCTCTTTTGATCCTTAGCTGAACTCCCTGTCCCTCTCACTCCTAAAATGCTGACGTGGTTTGGAACCAGCAACTCCGCTTTGCACCTGTGAAGCTCTTCCGTGACTTGAGTATTGATGATGTGATTATTCACCTATGACCCCACATACAGTAAACCACGGAGAAAGGCACCTACTCCTATTCCCTGTGGTAGCCCAGTGGAGCCTGGACCAATCTGTACATGAGCCAACTAGACACTATTTGATTACGAAAGGAGATCAGACTTAAACTCCAAAGAAAGATTTAGAGGAAGATCCAGCAAAATCAGGGCACATATCTCACCAAATTCTACTTAGATAGCTTAGGATGGTTGGCCATCCCTCTACTAATCTTCCAATGTCTAAAACAGAGTTTGGTTTCTATTACAATTCCTGATAAACAGAAGGCCTCCAGGAAATATTTAATGAAAGAGAGATGAGTGAATAAATAAAATATTATAAGCACCAGCTCTAAGACCGAAGAATGATTATACTGGTTTTTGAGGGTGTGCATGAAGTTATAAAATATGACGAATCTTTAATTAGTAGAACATGTTTGGTGAAATTTCCATTCATATTTCTTTTAAGAAAAAAAGCAGGAAGCAACTCAGCACATCTACTTGTCATTACTTTTAGAACATCTGTGGTTCTAAAACAGCTTTGAAAATAGTTACTTGCCTAGAGTAAGGTCTGACTTCTGCTGTATAAGCATTAAAGTGTTCTAAATTTGTACGCACTAGTACATACTCTCATAGATGGCAGTTAATGAAAATATTGATTAGGTGGCTTAAATCTTCTTCACACTCTGGTTTTATAGGAATATGTATATGTACGTTTGACTCATTAAAACTTGGTCAAAATAAAGAAAAAAGCAGAGGGAACAGATGCAACATCATTCCCCCCCCTTTTTTTTGCATGAAAAACTGCACATTTACTCTAGAAATCCCAAATAAGAATGTTTACAGGAACAGTCGATGGAAGCAGCATGGGCTGGCATATAAAATGCTTACTGTTTAGCAGGAGAAAACATCCTAAATACAGTGCATCTCTCTCCATCAGCTGGTGTTCCCTGTTTGTGTTTCTTCAGATTGATCGGCTGGACGTGGATAGCATGTTTAGCAACATTGAATCCGTGCATCAGATATCAGCCAAGCTGCTGTCATTGTTGGAAGAGGCCACAACAGACGTGGAACCGGCCATGCAAGTAATCGGTATGTTTATTCTCTTCTTGAGTTCTACACTACAACAGGAAATAATATTTTAATAACCTCCCTTTGCTTTGGGTTTATGTTTCTGACTCACCAAGCTTCCCAGGAGATGCATAAATGCTAAACCTTTCTTCAGGCTCATTGTAATTACACAAACTCTGTATTTGTCTTCAAATGGGTTTCTATCTATTTGCTCAAGTCCCACAGTAACACTAAGCACACCGTTTGCTTTTTAATTTTCAATCTTTCAACCTCTTTGCCTTCCAGATGTTCTCTCATTTTGTTTTATGGCTAACACTTACTCAGTCTTTAAAGAATTAAATATTTAAATACTTTAATAGCTTTACTGATTTTAGTCACAGTATTTTTCAGATCTTACGCCTATGAATCCATTGACTTTGGGATTGTAAAATTTTTTGCATGAAGGGTTTTGATAATTTATAAAACACACAGGTTCTACTTTTCCCATGCTTTTCCTTTTTTTTTCCCTATATTATTTGCTTTCCAGACATATTTTTACTCACGGGCATAGATTATTTTCTTACTCTGGTAAGATTTTGGAAAAAAATACAAAGATATCTTTGAGAAAGCATTGAGCCAAATTTTTATCCCCTCCATTTCCTGGGCGTTTCAAAGGGAATACTGTACTGTGAACTTTCTGAAGGCAGTTACCTCACTGGAGATACATAGTGCCATGGAAGCTAAGACTTCTTTAAATTTTTTTTTGGTTATTTTTCTATTTCAGGTATAACATGCAAAGTATGTTCCCTACAAGAATATTAAAACAAATCAGGACTACAAGAATAAAACAATGCCACTATCTTCCTGATAAGTAACCACTGTTATCAGTTTGATGTGGATCCTTTCTTTGAGACATATACAGAGACACAAACACACACACCTTATATCTTTATTCACTGTGACTTAGTGAAAATCAGGGTTTTAAAAATGAAATTGACCTTGTTTAATATTTATGGAAGACCCAAAGCTTAATAAGCAAGGCTGATATTATGCAAAGGTGAATCAACCTATTTGTAGCGTTTTACAGACTGAGAGGTCAGCTCACTCAAAAAGATTCTCCCACAAACAGGTTTAAGTTTAATCATACTTGTGACTGAAAGTCCCTATCATGTTCTGAAAGTTTGTGTTCCCCTAACATTCATATGTTGACACCCTAACCCTCAGTGTAATGGTATTTGGAGGTGAAGCTTTTGAGAGGTAATTTTGGTTTAGATGAAGTCATGAGGCGGTGAGAGGGCGGTCCCCATGATGGGATTAGCGTAAGGAAAGGAAGACAGACCAGAACTCCCTTTCTCCCTCCTCACCATGTGAGGACACAGCAAGAGGGCACCTATCTGTAAACCAGAAAGGAGGTCCTCACTAGAAACTGAGGCAGGTGGCACCTTAATCTTGGACTTCTCAGCCTCCAGAACTGTGAGAAATCAATGTCTGTTATTGAAGCCCTTCCTCCCCCCAGTCTATGGCATTTTGGCATGGCAGCCAGAGATAACGTAGTTTCTAATAAGCTGTAAATATATTTTCTAAAGGAAGGACTCTATTCATTATTACTTTAGTGTGGATTCATTGTCCATTCGTTTATTAATTCACTCAATGACTAGTTATTAAGTAGCAGCATGTATAAAGGTACTGTGTGGCATTGTTGGGTATCAAAAGATGAAAGAGATCATCTCTGTCCTTCAAAAGTTTGCCATTGAAAAGCTCCTTGAATTGAAGGTATTTGTGTAATACACCATCAGACTATTTTCTATGCCGCTGCAGTACTTCAGAGGATAAAAAAGAATATTTCTAGATGGGGAAATCACAGAAGGATACTTGAAGATGTTACTTGGTCCTACAGTTACAGTCCAGATTTCAATAAGTGGGGTCCAGGTCTGAAAGATTAAGTGAAAGCAACAGCATGAACAAAAGCATGGATAGTAAATGCCAAATGCCAAGCATGTTTAGGAAATGGCGAGAGATCAAGCCAAGCAGGAGTGAAGGATGAATCTGAAGCAGGAGTGAATCAGAAACGAATCTGTAGGGGTGCCTGGGTGGCTCAGTCGGTTAAGTCTCTGGCTCTTGGTTTCGGCTCAGGTCATGATCTCATGGATTGTGAGATCAAGCCCCACCTGGCTCCATGCTCAGTGGAGAGTCTGCATGAAGATTCTCTCCCTCTGCCCCTCCCCCCACTCTCACACATGAGCACACTCTCTCTCTAAATAAATCTTTAAAAAGAAAAAGAAATGAATCTGTAAGTGTAGAATAGAGACAGACTATACTCGGAATCAAATTTGGAATTTACTCTGCAGGTACTGAGGAGCCATTAAAAGATTTTTCAGCAAGGGTGTGATGAGACATACAAGTTTCTAGAGAAAGAAAACTATGGTAAGTATGAAGAGAACGGATAGAAGGAGAAAATGAGTACTAGACTAGTAAATAGGTTGTTATAAATAATGCAGTCATGTGGTAACAAGCATCTAGGCTAAGGTAGATACAGTGAGACTAAGAAAGGGGGCTCAGATGCAAGAGAAATGTTGAATAAAGCATAAACAAGATTTAGGGGTTGGCTGCCTGTGCTAAAGTGAAAGACAATTCCGGGTTTAAGAAGACAAGTAGCCTAATTTATCTAGAACATCCTGGTTTTAGCCTAGTCTAGCATTCAGTCCAGTTTAGCATTTGTCCTGGAATTTCTCCTTTTTAGGGAGGATCATTATTAATCACTGCACTACAAGAGATTTGGTGAGACCTCCACATTGTACTCCAATTTCTAACCGGTCTCTCCTAATAGAATATAAGAGGCAGGTGTATTTGACAGAGTTCTCACCATAACACATGCTAAACTCTGAAAGACAGCCCATCTTTCCTTTCCCAACCTTTTGAAGTAGCATGCATAGCCCTGGCTGATGAGAAGATGACATTTGGACGTGAAGCTAACTGCTTCCTGTTCCGATGCTGGTGGGAGATGTTTCTGATGCTACGGATTCTGCTGTCCCCTGGGCATAGCAGCTAGGATGTAATGGCCCATGATGGGTGGCCCTTGCCGTGACCCGTGAGAGGCAAGAAGCCACCAGGCTATTAGTCAGGGGACTATTAGCGGGACAATTAGGGAATTAAAGATTAGATGTAAGTGAAATTCCTGTGACAGGTAGAGGCTTTGCTGTCCTGCTACAGAGTATCTGGATGCTATTGCTACAATAGTTGGGTAATTCATCTTATGATACAAATCCATAACTTTTTAACAATCTGGTTATCTTACTTTGTTTTGCAATAAACCCTTTCAGAAGCAAGTGTTTCATCTATGCATGTTTAATAAAAATTAAGTATTGATTTTCTGTTGCTCAAGAAAGTTGATGACGAACATATAACACACAGAATACTTGCTCTCCACCATGGGGTTCTTGATGTTATCACTGACTGTAAGACAATCGGAAGAGAAGAAATCTGCTGAAGAAGCAGCAATATCTACCTCAAAAGTTAGTCATTGCTTTAAGAAGATTGTGCCCATTATTTTCAAACCTTGGCATTTGGCATTTGTGGACCATGCTTCTGTTCATGCTGCTCCCTCCACCTGGAACCTTCTTCTCAACCTTCTTCTGACTTGTTGAAATCCTATCTATACTTTTAAGCCCAAGTGCATGTGGTTTCACACTTGCAGCTGCAGAGGTGTATAACATTGAGCACTTTATGCAGCATGGCTTCATTAGGTCAAATGACAGTTATCCTAAGTTAATTTCTCTCATTTTCAGTTCTGAGTTTCCTTGGGCCTGTAAGAAATGTAAAGCAGTGGTTATTAATGAGTTGACACAAATAGCAGAAGAGTTTACAAACAGTTAAATTATGACAGTTTTATAACAGTGTGAGCAGATAAATTAAATTTAAAAATTAATTAATTCTGATAATGATAAAAAAAAAGGTTTAACCAGGGGCACCTGGGTGGCACAGTTGGTTCAGCATCTGACTGTTGGTTTCGGCTCAGGTCATGATCTCAGGGTCTTGGGATCCAACCTGCATCAGGCTCCACGCTCAGTGTGGAACCTGTTAAAGTTTCTCTCTTCCTCTCCCTCTGCCCCTCCCCTTGCTCTCTCTCTCTCTCTCTAAAATAAATGAATGAATAAATTTTAAAAAAAAAGAAAAAAGTTTAACCAATTCACAGAACAGACAAAAACCTTTTGGAAGTTTATTGTGTCAAAGGCGAATTTTCTGACCTTATTGTGAATGCTACTGTACTTTAAAAATTAAGCTTGTGAATGCAAATGATAATATGAGTACATATTTTGGGGGAGCACAGCATCTCAGTAAAATAATATTTTTACTAAAGTAAAAAAAATCTATGGAACAAAAATTTACTTGAGATTGATTGTGGTGATTATGTACTAAAGCTGTGACATTCTATTAGTCGAAATGGTAACTGTAGTCAAAATTCACACAGCTTTATATATACAAAGTTAGAGTGAACTATATACAATACCTGGAGGATAAAGCTGATATGAATTTTTTAAAAGATTTTATTTATTTGAGAGAGAGCGAGCATGAGTGGGGGCGGGGAGGGGCAAAGGGAAAGGGAGAAGCAGACTCCCCGCTGAACAGGGAGCCCCATGTGGGACTGGATCCCAAGAACCTGGGATCATGACCTGAGCTGAAGGCAGATGCTTAACCAACTGAGCCACCCAGGCACCCAGGCATAAACAATCTTATGCATGGTGGTAACACTTTCTTTGTTTGCTCCTGGTCAGTAATCAACTTTTAGAAATTGGCATTTTGTTCAAAATTAATTAGAAGTCTTTACTTAAAGTATTCAACAAAGAAAGGGAAAAAAGAACTACTTCAGCTTTTTAATCTTTACAATTGTAATTACTGAAAACAAAATTGTAAATAGGAAGACACTGAAATTTATCACTACTAAAACAAGAAGTTAGCTTTAAAAAAATCAGTTTATATGGTGTAGAAGATTTAATTTTAAAATTCTTTAATTCCATTTTGGAAAACTTGACCTACAGAAAGAT